TTGCTTAGTCTGTCATGTTAAGCATTCTGCCAGCTAAAAGCCTTATATATTTAATAATTTAATCTTATGTTTAATTTGACTACTATGTGCTGTGTGTTCATTGTAGATCTGTTGCTTGGTTGAGCTTTGAATATGGTAGCACTGATTGATATATAAAATTTGTTGGCTGAGTACTCATTTCTGGTTACACTTTTTTTTTTGTGCTTTTTATTTATTAGTGTCCAGATACAAATTACTTGTTCATGGGAGATTATGTTGATCGTGGCTATTATTCAGTTGAAACTGTAACAGTAAGTATGGGCTGTTATGCTATACCATATTTTTTTAGTTCAAGCTGAATTTGTATAATTCATTTTTGTATTTTTGAATTCTGAATCCTTATGAGATGACCGGACAAGGATATTATGGACATACCTTGAAGGTCCAAGACTATTAGTGGCTACGCTTCAAATGTATTTTTTGGATTAATTATTGATAATTAATCGTTAAAGGCTTAGATGAGTTGAACACTAGTTAGTTCACTATAAGTTGTTTGTTGGCCTCTAAATATGTGGAGCAGAGGGTTGCATTTCTTCATGGAAGATAATATCCTGTTATGTGTGTTTGTGGGTTATTTTAATTATTGAGCACCAATGCATAATTTAATTATGTGAGGTTATGCTAAACTAAAAAGAAAGAAATAGTATGTATGGCCATGCTATATGTGTAGAGAATCTATTTTCAGCATGAGGAATTGCCATAGAATTACACCTGGGGCAATCAATAATAGCATAGAGATGTGGTGTGTGGATTTCAAAATTTTGAGTAAATTTTGTTTTACAAATCAATATTAATAGTACTAGGATGCTTAGTTCAGTTTGTTGTTTCTTTGAGTGGGAACATATTTTGCACTGAGTCACTGACTATTTACTATGCAGCTTTTGGTTGCACTCAAAGTGCGCTATCCTCAACGCATTACTATTCTGAGGGGAAATCATGAAAGTCGTCAGGTGTGTTCTATGTATTGTCATGTGACTTGTCTAATCATTAATGATTTACACACACACATGCTTCATTATATACTCTCTGCCCTGGTAGTGTTTATTTAATTGTATGCCTTGTTAGCTTTGAATGTATAGGCTAATCTTATTCTTTTTGCTACAGATCACTCAAGTTTATGGGTTTTACGATGAGTGCCTACGAAAGTGAGTACTAGAGAATTTTAACTCTTAGGATATTATAGTTTGGCACTTGACCTTTGTTATATATAAATAATTGCACTCATCAATTTTACATTGGTTGTATTTCTTGTCCCTTGATCCTTTTTATTTCTTCCCCCCTGAATCCTCTTGTTAACTTTTTATTATCTTTTATGTGTCGTTCTGTCTTAGACGCTCTTTTAGTTATAAGTGTTTAACTTTGTGCTAAATTGAAAGAACGTATCTCTTGTTAATAGTGCTCTTATGTAGAGTAGTACGAGCATATATGATAAAACAGTATTTCGTTTTCAATTTTCATTGTTTAACGAGCGCATATAAGATGGAAGAAAGTTAAATCGAATGGAGACATTATAATTATTCAGCTATAGGCTGCTCTTGCATTAATTGCTGTCGTGCAAGTGTTCACATTATTCTATTCTTTTTCCCCCTGTCAATTCCACCGCAAGTTCTTTTTGGGTTTACGTGGATTTGTAGATGCTATGTCTAAATGATAAGCATGTTGCGTAGAAGAGTGAGACATTGAAAGAAAGAATAGTCCAAGATCCTGTTTTGTGGACTGTTTATTTGGATTTTCTGGACTGAGTAGCCTTAAGTTACTGAGACATGCTTTTTAAATTTTTGTTAATATTGTCTCAGAAATCATGTTCAATATTGTTGATTGTATTATTTTTGAGGAACCAATTTCATTTTTTCCTTTGTATTTGCATATTCAGATAACCCTAGACACAGCTTAACGATATAATTTGCCAAAAAAATTTCAGACTCCAACTAGATGTTATTAATAAAAATGCTGACAAATATGCATCTTATGTCACTATCATAAAGGAGCAGATAATCACAACAAACCAAAAATTATGCTTGTGGGAAGTTGATTTGAAATTCTTAATATTTGCTATTTGGGTTCTTAATTGTTCTTGACATGTTCTAGGGTATGTTTGATATATGAGTTCTCTATCTGCTCATCTTTAAGTTATATTGATTTTCCTTTCACATGCAAAACCCACATTGGTAATAATTTCACGCTTTGATCTCCAGGTATGGTAATGCCAATGTTTGGAAGGTCTTTACAGATTTGTTTGACTACTTCCCCTTGACAGCACTGGTTAGTAATTTTTATACTATTATTATTACATGATGTATGGAATTACCAGAGGATATGTTCTTGGCTGTGATCAGAGTTTGTGCATGTTTGTTTGATTCAATTTAGTAGGCTTCATTTTGAGCTGCATGAGTTAATCTGTGTCTCCTTCTTATCTTCTTTTGTACATAATATGCTCCCAATGTTGAAGCCTTGTTTTGCTCTTTAAGCTTGCATTAAATAATTCAGTTTTTCTGTCGCGTTCTTAATTTCTAGTGAGTCATATAATATTGAGATCATAGGAATCAATTCTGATGATGTCATCGTTTTAACTAATCATTTCATGCTGTTAAAGTATGTTGTTCTTTTTGCAGGTTGAATCCGAAATATTTTGTCTCCACGGTGGGTTGTCCCCGTCAATTGAAACCCTTGATAACATTCGTAATTTTGATCGAGTACAAGAAGTTCCTCACGAAGGACCCATGTGCGATCTTCTGTGGTCTGATCCGGATGATCGCTGTGGTTGGGGTATCTCTCCTAGAGGTGCCGGATATACCTTTGGCCAGGTAATATAGTCTACTGTTCATTGTCACTCTAGTTTTGCAGTTCACCTAGCATCATTCATTTTCATTGACAGTTATTTTTATTGTTTTTATAGGACATATCTGAGCAGTTTAACCACACCAATAACTTGAAGCTTATTGCGAGAGCTCACCAACTGGTTATGGAAGGATATAACTGGGGTCATGTAAATACTGGATCTCATTCACTTTCAGTCAGTTGATATCTTCACATAAGAGTAGTATCGTCTGAGTTATGGTGCATTGTGCAGGATCAAAAGGTGGTTACCATATTTAGTGCACCTAATTACTGTTACCGCTGTGGGAACATGGCATCCATTCTTGAAGTCGATGACTGCAAGGGACACACATTCATTCAGGTGGAGCTTCCCTTTCAAACACCCTCAATCATCATATCAGAAACTGCTGCAGTTGGTTTATATATTGATGTAGCCCAGCGGTTCATTTTATCTGGTGCTTAGCATTTATAGCATTCTGCAGGCCGTCATATGTTCAATTCATTAATATTTTTGATGCAGTTTGAGCCGGCGCCCAGGAGGGGAGAGCCAGATGTGACCAGGAGAACACCTGATTACTTCCTATGATACAACTCTGGTTGAGATGCTGTTACCAGCGATTAGTGTCCCCTCACTACCCTGCAAGCGCATTCACTTACTGAAATCAGAGGTCATGCATCAAATTTGATCCTTACAGTTTTGATGTGCTAGTGGTTTAGAGGCATTGCAGGATTTGTTATTTACTTTGATCTTTCCAAGAGGAGGTAGAGGAGCAGCAGGTGATGCTATCATCAGCATTCATGCCATTCCAGCAAGCCATGTATCTTTTTTATTATTATTCTTTTCCTTTTCCATCTTCTTCAGTTGTTTTGACTTTTCTTTCCTCAATTTAGAAGGATTATTTTTCTGGGGACTGATTTCTATAGATGGATGATGCTCTAACAGTTCCTTTAATGGGTGTTTTATAATTTTCCCCTCTCGATTTGTGAGAGAGTATGTTCCATTGGGTATTTTTAGGGAGAATTTCAGTAAAGGACCAAAGTAGGAATTTTATTTCCAATCAGGGTTAATGAAATTGAAATTACATTGCAGGTGAAGGAATTGCATTGAAATTATGTTTTCATGGAAAATTATGAAAACACACTTGATTTTTGTTTTTTTAACAAAGAAAAAGCTACCAACCACTATCAGTGGATTGCTGACTGTTGAGCCGCTGCGTCGGCAATCAAAGCTTCGACGTTCGTCAATCTATTGTCGGCAGTTGGAGAATAAATCCTCTAAGGTCAACTCACCAAAAGGATATTAACCGAGAAATACCGAGTTATGAGAGCCATTTAATTATTATATGTGTAATCACTTTTCTTCCAAGCCTCCTGTTTCTTGTCACGTGAAGTTTTTGTTAAAACGTTAATTCAACTTCTTGTTTATTAACTTTTACTTATTAATCTGTTAGATTAGTTGCAAACTAGAAGTTCTGAAAATTCATGAATTTGATAAGTTTCTTTTCATAAATTGACAATTACATATGAGCTAAATAATATGTTAACATAGGTTTGCTATGAATTTTCAAATTTCTCAACTTATAATATGAAAAGAACTCCTTAAAATACTAACTTGTCATTTTATAAATTTAAAATGTAAAATGAGCGATTTGAAAAATGCACAAGAAAATTATTTGTTATAACATCAAATGAACTTGTTACATCTCTAATTGAACTTATTATATGAATAATTTTTACATGTCAATTTGCGAGAGTCATTTATTAGCATATTTAAATAAGTAAAAATTGGCATGTTGAAACATTAACTTAATTTATTATTTGATTAACTTTTACTTATTAATATATGATGGTAAGTTACAAATTGAGAGATTTAAAAATTTAAAAATTTGATAAGTTTTTTTTTTTAAATGATAACTAAATGTTTGACATTACAACTTTACTTTGATTGATATGAATTTTCAAAAAACATAATCAACTAGTGAAATATGAAAACAAGATCAAAAAAGTTCAAATTCTCCATGTATGAGTTAACTTTTAAATGATTTAAACAATTTGTGTCTTTGTGACATATTTTAATTTTGAATCACATTTTTTGGTCATGAAAAAGTAAATGACGGCAGGAAGTGGCACTGATTCTATATCCATTTGAGGCCAAGAAAATTATTGACCCTGTAAAACCCTTTTTTTTTTTGGGCCAATAAAATATTTTCATTCATTTGTGGTGCATATGTGCTTGGATTTTCTAATTTCGTGTAACTAGCTACATTTTGGCCAAAAAAAATGTTGGTGGTCACAGGAATTATTGAAGGTTGTTGTGGAAGGAAGAGCGCGTGTGTTGATCCTTGAGAGAGAATGAGAGAGATCTGGTGAATGCTAGAGGCAACATCATAAGTTTCTTTGCTTTTCCTACGTAGGCTCTTCTTGTCAAGTTGTCATATTCGTTGTCTTCTATTGCATCCAAGATCTTACCGTATATTATTAACGACGACCAAACCTGCAAATCATCCACAAACCAATTCATCAACAACTGCTATTGATGCACCACACCACGATGAATTTGTTTTCATGCAACATTCATAACTTCACACTGTTCCTTTGCATGCCAGGTATTTGCCGTAATGTGTGAGAGAGGTTATCATTCTTTAGGGTGTAGTAGCTTGGATTGGAGGTCAGTTAATTGAATGGCTTTCTACTGCCGCTTTTCATTTGCACTTTCAAGGGATTATTAACTATAAATGAACTGTCTTTGAAGAGATGATCCTTCATATTTATTTTTTTCCCTCGTTTTTTTGGTTGTGGGGTTCTCCAAGTTTAAGAGCTAGCATACCGGCCAACGGCTTGCCTTCTCGAGCTGAGAAGCCCCTTCCTCTGCCAAGCTGAAGTAGAATCTTGCCCTACTTATCTGACGTTTCATGAACACCTTCCATTCTTCAGTGACAGTTCTTGAGAAAATATCCTTGTCACTTAAGCCAAACTGGGCAAGTTCATCTTGGGGAAGGTAAACTCTACCTCTTGATGCACTGAAAGGATAACATGGAAAATTTAGATGACAAGGCTGTGAGAAGCACAGAAATTGTGAAGTAATAAATCAACAGGAGACTTACTCCTCTCCAACATCTCTGAGAATGTTTGTCAGTTGATTCCCAATACCCAAATACAGTGCTGCATTGTATATAGTTTGAGCAGGGAGAAGAGACTCTGCTGCAATTCCCATCACTGGAACACTCATCAAGCCAACAGTTCCGGCCACATAGTAGCAGTAAAGATATAGCTCTTCAAAATTCTTATACCGGGTTTTCCTTGTATCCATCCTCATGCCTTCTATCATGTCCCTGAAAGGCTATAATAGAAGAAAAACACTTTATTTCTGTGGATTCCTCGAGCCACTGATTCGTACATTTGTTTCTGATAGCTATTATGTATATATACCTTGATGTCCAAGGGAAACATAGACACAGTCTCAGTCAGAGCAGCATCGAGCATGTCATAAGGGCGTCCGTTGAAAATGTCATGGAGTCTCTCTTCCCACCTATCAAGAACAGCTGAGCTCATATAGATCGCATTTGGACCGTCAACCAATTCATCCGTCCTCCTGCACCAAACTACAGACAAAAATTTAGGTCTTTGAACTATACATAACTAATAGTGGGTTTGAGATGGACAAGGTTTTAAGAATAGATGGATCTTCCCTTTTGGCTAATCCAAATAATAGGATTCCAATAAGAAACTAGTAATGTGAATTCAGAATGTTTTCAAACAAGGTCAACTATGTCCATTTGGATTATTATTCAACTGCCTTTACAGAGTAAAGCTAGATGTAGTTTTTAGTAAATCCTTAGATATTTTAGCTACTAAGTCCATATCCTCGCTGTGAAACTTTCTTACCATAAATCGCCCATATAGCTTTCTGTCTTTCTTCTGTCATTAGTAGAGTTCCTGTTCAAGAATGGTGAGACGGTCTGAGTCGTGCAGGAAGGAGAATAGAATAGTTCATATGACTTGAAGAAATAAGCATGATAGAGAGGAACTAAAAGTCTACTCATGTTGAGAAGTTGGGCAGTTCGCAGTTGCATGTGCGAGGGAATAAATGAATCACAACATAAAAACCATTTTCTTCAATCAAAGTGATGAGACTCAAGAAGGAAAATCATAAAAATTCATATACTTCAATTCATTAGAGGGAACAAAGTGCATTTGCACCTAGATAGAAGGTCTTGGCATATTCTGCACAGATCTTTCTGCAACTTTCATACGCTTCCTCTAAAAAACCAGGACGAAACATTGGCTTGTTACGAGGACTGGTTGAGATGAACTTGGCCGGTTGAGTCTGCCTCTCTACAACATCTTGTACGTGCAGATCAGCAAGAGGAATTCCTTGTTTGGACAGATGGCGATAAACGATATCCCTTGTTGGTTTGGGAGCCAAGGTCACTTGTGCTCCTGTAACACTAAGTCTTCTGCTGATTGATTTGCCTGCACTGATATGGCTTCCAATGATGGAAGCGTTTGCCGCTGGAGAAAATGGCAGACTCATCTGACTATTTGAGATTGGTCAGCAGATGCGAGAAAACTATCAAATGAATGGCTTTAAAAGTGAATTCGGGGTGCTTCTGTCAAGTGAAGCCCAAGGGAACTATCAACTCCTTTTGCCACTATCTGTGTATATATAGTCACCTTCGTTTTTGTAGTTGCGAGTGAAGATCCATTTTTAATTGCGGCCTGCCTTTTTGTAGGGACCAGTTGCACTTGATTTGGACAGCTGACAAGTGAAATGAGAAATTCATTCATGCTCAATCATGGAACTACATATTTTCCCCTCCCCTAAGAAGCTTGAATCATATTAAATGCAGGGAATATCCATCTGATAGACTCTACTCTTCTCCCGATACATATGATATACTACTGGAAGTTGATTTTCTAGTTAGTAAATAAGACATGGGGCGTGGTTTGGTCTGATTTTGGGAGGGAGAACGTAATCTTCAAGGACGTTGCTTTTGTCATGGAGAATGCCACCGAAACAATGTTAGCCAAAACGTGTCCGGTAGTGGAATTTCTTGCGAGGAATCCTAGTCAGTTTTGATGCCTCCTAAGGCTAAATTAGTCTTGTTTCTGGATTGGTTCGATTAATATCGGCTTGTCTTGTGTTTGCTTATCTTTACAAATTGTCAGGTTGTAAAGCCCTTAATATTCGACCGCCCACGTGGCAAGCAACTGCATCCACACACATCATGCCACGCTTGTACTCGCAAATTCCTACTTTAGAAGTCGACAACCTCTTCTGGGGCAAGAGTGGGATTCAACTATTGAATATTGATGAAGTAAAAGAAAAGTAGGGAAGAGGAGCAGGATTAGAAAGGCCCCTTAACCGAACGGCTAAAATCATTGCGATAAACAATTAGCATTATTTAGCTAAAAAGCATCATTTACTTAACGATATTCAGTAAATCAGTTGCTCTTTTATATAAAGTTCTTGATGTCTTTTTATGGTTGTAGTAATAGAGAAATAGGAATGGAATTGGCTTGTGTTTTTCTGTTCTGGGATGCATATTCTCATGTATGTTACGGTTTCTATCTTTTCGTGGGACTTGGACTGCTCGAACTTATCCTTCATCTTCCTCGTCTAGGTGGTTGATTATACATAAAAGAATCTCCATCTTATTAATAACCTACCAAATATATTGATAGTAATAATTTTACATTGCATTGCATTATCAAGAGGGTCTGCAATCGAAACTAGACGGTCGAAGGATACATATTGCATACATAAATAGCCGTGCTTAATTCACAAGGCAGTATTTAGGTATGTGTCAGTTGGCTAAAAAAAAAAAAACGAAGGTATATATTGTTTGTGAGTTGGGTTGAAAACCTCAAAAAACAACTGTTGGTAACATTTTTTTCCACAAAATCTATTAATAAGGTCACCACAAATATTTTGACCCATACTGTTTGTGAGTTGGGTTGGAAACCTCAAAAAACAACTGTTGGTAACATTCTTTTCCACGAAATCTATTAATAAGGTTACTACAAATATTTTGACCCATATTGTTTGTGAGTTGGGTTGGAAACCTTAAAAAACAACTGTTGGTAACATTCTTTTCCACGAAATCTATTAATAAGGTCACTACAAATATTTTGACCCACTTTGATGTGTTTATATCAATATTATTAGACTTAATTCGGATCAAATAATTCAACTAATCAAATTGAAAACTGAAAACTAAATATAATTCGGAGCACCCCAAAATTGGTAAAAATGAATCGTTGAAGAACCAGTCATAACTAATCTTTTCTTACTTGAGATAAACAAAATTATCTTAATGAAAAGAGGTTCTATGGATAAAATTAATAACATAAGCATTAAAACAATAATCATTCAACTAATCAATGAGATTTGAGTCTAGTGGAAGGGGCTAATTCCTCACAATGTGATGAACCAAGGTTCGAATTTTCATTGGATAAGGTGTAGACATTTAGTACCCAACCATGTGTCAAATAGAATTGCTTTTAATAAAAGAATACCTATGAGTAATTAAAAATATAATCATTCAAACAAGAATCTTCATCCAATCAATAATCTATAAAGTTTTAATTAAATTTTATAAATCTTATATTATTGAATACTACTCCCTCTTGTCCATAATGTTAGTTACTTCCAACATACATAGCACATATTAAAAAGGAAGGAAAAAAGAGAGAGGAAAGACTTGTGTATTGTAATATCACCTAATTTACTCCATTATTTTAATCATAATATCATGCATTACCATGATAAAAAGAAATGAATTGCAATTAAAAGAGCTAACCATAATAAAAAAAAAAGATGTTGAAGGTCTATTATAGTTAATAGAATTGAACTTATGATTATAAATCAATAAAAAAGTGTATATACATGTACTCTACAATGGTAGAAAAGATTCTATCATAGTAGAAATAATTAAAAACTAATTAATAGGTACTAGTATACTATAAAAGGTTGAAACTTATCATTAATAGAGTATAATTTCACAATTCTTTGGGACCTCAAGTAGAACAAGTATTTTAGAACATTTCAAAGCCGAACAAGTATAAATTAGAGTTCCAAAAGTGTACCAAAGCATGTGATCTCGTTTTATAATTAAAACCATTGAAAATACAGTTTAGAAATCATTTTTCTAGGAATCAAGATTGTAATATCACCCTTACTACCTTTCTTACTTAACCAAAACCACCTTGGTAAATGTGGGGTGAACCCAAATAATCAAGCTTGAGTTTTTAAACATAATAGTAACAGATATGGGATCCCCAGATCTAGTCTTAAAACACTTTGAATCTAGACAAAAACAAGTTTAAATTAAAGTAAAAGCAAATATAGAAGCATGCGATACCAATTTGAAGATAATAGTTGAAAATATGAATTAAAACATCAATATTGTGAAATCAGAGGGATCCACCATGATTGAGCACAGTACGCCACATTGCATTACATAAAACTAGACAGCAGAATAATGTCAAATGTTATATCGGGGACCAAACTTCCAATGTGCTACAAATCTTTATCCGACATCTTATCGAGGCAATCTAAGTGTTCATAAAAAATTATTTCCATAAAGTAGCTAATGGCACTGGTTTCATTTTTAAGTTATTTCATACTAAAAAGTTAGACACCTAAATGCATTTAAGCTACTTTTCATACTTAACAAAAACTAAGGTGCACCAAAACTCAACCAATATGTTAAAAGTGCAACTCGACACCTAAACCACACTTTATAGACTTAAAAACCACCTATACAACACACCACAGCATTCATAACACACTTATATCACAATATAATTTCAACCCTCAACCCCTGGCTATGTGGCCAAAATATGATATGCAAGACTATAATGGTAACAACTATGTGGCCAAGATATGATATACATGATCAATGCTATAGCATCCTAAGTTTTTAAATTAGGAATTATCAGTATAAATTAATATAGTTTTTAAATCCTTATAGAGCTTTAAAAGGAGGCTAGATCGGTGTTTGAGCAAGCCATGGCACAGAAGAGAGTTTAAATTTTAGTGAGACTTTCTGTGCCATGCGCTGTAGCGGGTATGTCAATGCGCAGACTGGAAACAAAAGGAAGAAAGAAGGAAAATGAGGGAGCTATGGAGAGGAACTCGTGCACTACTAAGGCATGGTCCCTGGGCCATATTGGGAGCGTCAGGAGCTTGAATTATCCTTGGGTAAGTTCCACATTCCCTCTCTTTCATCTTTATATGAAGATTTCTAACTTTTAGGGCAACGGGGGCTTTGATTTCAGTTTTCTTAGGTTTAAATTGAACCAATTAGATTATTTAAAGTCTTGAAAAGTTAAATCAATCCTCTAACCTTAAGTTTATGAGTTTTATGATGATTGAAAATTTTTATTGAGGGTTTGGACTGACCCTAGGTATAATTTGAAAATTTTGAGACAATGTGAGGAATTGGATGATGAATTTAGTGTGTTAGGATGTTTAATAGGATAGTTAGAGTATTTTGAAATAGTCGGTGTGGTTAGGTGAGAAATTTAGGTGTTATAAGTACTTAGAACCTAGTAAATTCAGGGTTATCCGGAGTGATAATTGATGATTATCACTTAATTGTGTAGATTAAGTGTTGCTCAAGCTACCTCATCTATATAGAATATGTGGAGCTAATGTTGAGCCACGATAATCCTTTTGTGTAATAAAGGGTTGAGGTAGTAAAATAATTTACACTATTTGATTATATTGCTTAACTATTTATGAGTAGATAAATATATTAGTTCATATGTATTTGAAAGCTTGGCATATTGAGAAAGATGATTTTCCTTGTGTATTAGAAACTAATTTCAAATTGATAAAGATTTTGAATCCGTATGTGAAAGGTAATGACTTTTCATAAGTGTGTAAAATGTGTAGCAATTGAGCATGATCATATTAAGGGGTGGGAGTTCACCTGTAGAAAGGAGTAGTGAAAGTCCATATAGCATGTATCTCCTTAGTGTCTAGTAAAGCATGGTGTTGGAGATTTTCTCCTTAGTATCCATGCGAGATATAGTATTAGAGAGTGATACTCTGTAATGTCAATGATGCAATATCAGAGTAATGACACCCCAATTTGTATGTAATAAGGGGAGATCATAGTTCAAAGTAGGATAGGATACTTTTGGCCGAGTGATCCTACTACTAAATTTGAGCTTGGACTATTGTGAGGGTGCACTTGGTCCAAGAGCCTATGGTTTCAGTCGAGGTGATATAGAGACTCGGATGATAGAATGATCATGCTAGTGATAAATGATTTGTGTTGATGAAAAAAAGTATGTTATAATATGCAAAAGTATATTTTGGTGTTTAATGACTTTACTCCCTAATGGTTATGTGTGTTAATTAATGGTAGTAAATTATTTTGTTACTAAGATATTTATCTCACCCTGTAGTTATATTTTATATGTAAGGGCTCCAATAAGGGTAAGGGAAAGGAAGGAGTAACTGAAAAGTGAAGAGCATTATTGTATAGTTCTTCCCTTTCTTTTGTGGGTTTGTAATGAATATATTATGCTATTATGCTAACTTAGGAACATGACATTATTTTGATTATTACTTGTATGAAATTGTGATAAGTGTATGGGTATCTTAGTCCAAGGTTAATGTTGTGGATTAAGTGTGTGTGCTTGGCCAAGTTACAATTACAAGCGATATATTTGAAATGATTTATGTGTCAAAATGACCAATTGAGATGTGTATTAAATTTAATCCACCCCTTTGTGTTTTTATCAAATGGGGGTTTAGTGGTTATTTTGAGTGTGATTACTTATTTATATGATATGAATGAATTGTCATGTTGCACATCGTCCATTTAAGGTTGATAAAGTGTCTTTGGGGTTAATGACATTTGA